CATCACTGGTGGGACTGCAAAGTGGTTCAGCCAGTCTGTGAAGCAGTTTGGCAGCTCCCCGTGGAGTTAAACATAGGATTACCAGATGATTCAGCAAGTCTCATTCCAAGGCATATGTGCCACAGTATGGATAACACACACACACACACACACACACACACACACACACACACACACACCCAAACCAGTATCCAGACATTCATATCAACACAGCTCAAAACCAGAAAGTGTAAACAACACAAGTGCCCATGGAAAGATAAGAGGCTGGATGAAAAGAAATAAAATAGACCCATTAATAGAGTTTTATACGGTGAAAATGAGGGTGCTGATCCATGCTGTGGAATGAATATGCCTCCCAAACACTATGCTAAATGAAGACCATCAACACAAAAGGCTGCAGATTGTGTGATTTGAATGACATGACAGGCCTGAAATAGACAAATCACAGAAATAGAAAATAAATCAGTGGCTGCTCAGGGCTGGAGGGAGGAGCCATGGCAAGTGAATGCTCATGGACATGGAGTTTTATTTTTAGTGATGATGAGATAATCTGGAATTAGTGTCAATAGTTGCAAAATCTTGTAGAGTATACCAAAAAAAAATGGGTTGTATGCTTTCAAGGGTAATTTTTTTTGTCTGGCTGGTTTTGGTTTTTTTGTTTTTGTTTTTCCAGACAGGGTTTCTCTGTATTGTTTGGAGGCTGTCCTAGAACTTACTCTGTAGACCAGGCTGGCCTCGAACTCACAGAGATCCGCCTGCCTCTGCCTCCCGAGTGCTGGGATTAAAGGTTTGAGCCACCAACACCCAGCTCAAGGGCAATTTTTTGTGGTATGTGAATTACATTTAAAAAGAAAAAAGCCAGCTAATAAACACAGCAGCCAAGAGTCTAAGTGACCATTCAGCTCTGTCTGGCATCTGTCCTACTCAGTCACAGTCAGGGCCACTTACTTACGAGGAATATTTAGTTAACAAATGCAGGCCAGGCTGGCCCTGAACTTACTGTGTAGCTGAGAATGACCTTGAACTTCTCATCCTCTTGTCTCTACCTCCCAGGAGGTGGGATTACAAGTGTGTGACACCATGCCTGGTTTATGTGGTACCAGGAATCCAAGCTGACCACTCATGCGTGCTAAGCAAGCAGTCTACCCACTGAGCTGTGTCCCCAGCACAGAAGCTGACGTTTCTTTTTACCCCATGACTTTGGGAAGGTCCTGGGGCTTACAGCTAATTGAATCATAGGTGGGTCTGGAGTACCCGAATCCTGGTCAGAACTGTGGCATCAATAGTCTGGCTGGAGATGATGGACCAGGTCAGTCAGATTCCCACCCTCCACATTTACCTTCTCTCCTGAATTTGGGACTGGGATGAGGGATGGAAAGTCAAGGCTAACGCTGGAGAGAGAGCTGGGCGTGAGGACATGAGGAAGACCTAGATTCAAGTCAGCCTCCAGAGACAGTGAGCAAACAGAAACCGGGGATGAAGCAGCAGTGACCCAGAAGCCAAAGTGTGGAGCCAAAGGAGGAAGGAGAGGGCGGTGCGGAAAGAGAGCCTGGGGCAGATGCTACTCAGGTCTCCAGGACTTCCTGGAGCCCCAGCTGGTGTTCCCAGGAGCTCTTCATAGGGCCCCACAGTACGCACCTGTCCTGCGCTTGAGCTAGCTCAAGTGAGGACTGCTGCCTGCACTTGAAAAGAACTCAGCAGGCATTTGTAGCCTCCAACCTTGATCTTCCTGAGCTGGTGGCCCTGGGGAGAGCCTCTTGGTGAGCTGTCCTTCTCAGAGAAGACGGCATTATGGGGGAACAGCCAAGACAGCACGGGCAACTGCGTGAGACTCAGGCAGGGCCTTGGAAGCAATAACTGGACAGGGGTTTTCTAAGCTCTTAGCCATGCCCAGCAAAGAGCAGGTGTCACCAGATGTAGGCACCGGTTACCAGAAGGGAGCGTTTCCTTTGTCTCCTGATGTGATAGGATTGAGATGACCCCTCCCCCTCCACGGAGCAGAGAACGAGAACTAATGTGAAATAACCAACGTGGCTGGGAGGACATCTCTAGGCTGACCTTGAACACGTTTCGTTTTCTTCAAAGTAAGAAGACATTTCATGTTTCACTTTTAATGAGAAAAGAAAGAGAACTGTTGCTGGAAATATTTACCTTCATCTCCTGTGCGGAGAGACTAGGAGATTTGTCGGCTTTGATCCCCACTTGTTTAATTACCAGGGAACAGAGTACGTCTGAGCTGGCAGGATCAGCAAGGCTCAACTCTTGCTGCAAAAGTTGGCAGTGGGGCACCCAGAAACCCGGCCTTTCATTTTCCCAGATCAAAGCTGAGCCAGCCCTAAGATGCAAGAGTTCTTTATATATATATATATATAAAATGGTAGGGTCTTGTGCGGAGGGGTCCCTGGGCCAGATGTGAGATCTGCCTTCTCCCTCCCCAACTAAGGGAAGGACCCTATGACCCTGACCAGGTCTCGGAAGCAGTCCCAGCACTCTACAAACTCACCAGTCTTGTTCTTACCAGTGGCCTCAATGCCTGTTTTGAAGCTTCCAGCTAGAATCTTAGGGAGCCCCCTCCTGATCCTCATCCACACAGCCCAGGCAGGCATAGAGGGAGCTAAGAGATACAAATCAAGGCAGAAGATGGCTTTTAGGGGGATAGAACACCTTTGATGAGGAGGCTGGGGTTTGACTTCTCAGTAACTCAAGAGATGGCTGGTAACCATGGAAACAAGGACAGACAACAGAGAGGGCCCTGCTGTGCCCGTTTCAGAGCACCAGGGCCTCCTTAATATGCTCACCTCTGAATGAACATCGCCTAAAAGACTTAACATGCACCTTTGTGGTTCTACGCACTGAGTTACTTCTGTAACCAGCATTGTGCTACTTAATGAAGAAGGCACATGGCATGATGATGATGATGATGATGATGATGATGACTACTGTTATTGAGTACTCATTCAGTCATGTGCTGTGAAATGATTTCATCCTCCCAAACACATTGGGGTTAATACTACTATTATCCCCATCTGATAAATAGGGAAACCAAAGCCAGGGAGGTAAGCAATTCAGCTTCACATAGCTGCTAAGTTACAATGCACAATATAAAGATGTTACACTCCCCTTATAGTCCAACCAGAGGGAGGGGAAGAAAAAAAAAACCCTTCTGAAACAACAAACTAAACCAATAAAAAAAAAAAACAAGGCATATACTTAAAATGCCCAGTCCTAGCAAAGAGCCAGAAAATTAAAGCCTGTTAAACCTGAGAGTTGCAAGAGAAACACCAGTTCTACAATTTTTGAGCCAAATTTGAAGCAAGCTTTAATTAAATACTGGCCATGATGATGGACTCTAGCCAGGACCATTTTGGGTTCCCAGAAAATGGAAACAAGTCACATTTTGCAGAAGCTTAAAAAGTCAAACCCATAAGTGATGGGGGATGTCCTTCTGTACATATGTTTCTCTTATTGGTTGATGAATAAAACACTGACTGGCCAGAAGCCAGTCAGAAAGAATGGGCAGGGCTACAAGACGAGGAGAATTCTGGGGAGAGGATGCAGAGAGGTTTCCAGAGACACCATGTAGCCACTGAAAGAGTAACATGCTAGAGCCTTCTCTGGTAAGATAAGGCCACATAGAAATACATAGATTAATAGTTATGGGTTAATAATTAAGAGAGAGCCAGCCAATAAGAAGCCTAAGCCATAAGCCAAACAGTTTATAAATAATATGTCTCTTTGAGTTTATTTGGGGCTGAAGGGTGGCCAGATCAGTGAGAACAGAATCTCTGTCTACACATACGGCCACCATTTTTCCCATCAGGTCCAATCAGGGGCAAGCACACATCCTGATGTACTTCCTGCCTATGTATCTCCTGCCTCCATCCAATCAGGGACAAGCATACATGCTGACATAGTTCTGTCCTTGTACTTCCTACCTACACGTGATCAAGCACATTCAGTGCAGTTGGGTTAAACAAACTTATTTAGGAGAGTGAACACATAAACCACACAGACCCCTAGCATTTCAGGAAGTATCTGTCCTTGGGCAAGGGGCTTACAGGTAAGAGGCATTTTTGTTTCATGGATCTCTTAGGCACAGTAATGAAAACTTAAAACATAACTTTGGCTCTCACAATCTCTTGCACCAAACACAGCAGACTACTTGTTTCTGTCAAGTTGGATTGGCACATAGCCACACCCATCTGTGACATGTTGTCTAGAACCACTTTTACCTTGCTCTGGCAGAATCAAGAGCTCTCAATACAGACCTAAAATATTTATTCTCCGGTCCTTTAAAGTTTGCCAAGGCCCTCTCATACAGTCAGTCAGCTGGGTTTGCCTGGGTCTGGTGGAGAGTTTGAGATGCAAGACTTTACATTTTAAAACCAGTGAAGTCCTAGACAAAGACATCTTTCCTGCCTCGGTGAGGGTGGGGCTCTCAGTACAGTGCTTGGTTGTATGTAGGACATTGGGAGCATTCCAAACAGGAAAGGCCAGTGGGAGTCTGGAAGAGGACAGGCACAAGACAGTTGTGGGGGGGGGCGGTAAAGCTAGGTGATGGCCCAGAGCACAGTGCCTACTGGGACGTATCTACCAAAACCTCCACCAAAGTGACATTCATGCAACATTGGTGGTATCAAAAACTCGTCCCATCTGCTAGACAGACGGTAAATGTATGCCCAGATGTCGAGTGTTGAGATGTGCCTTTGGGGAGGTGATTACATGAATAAACCTAGACCAGTGTGACTCCCCCACCGCCACCACCAATGTTTTTTGTTTTTTGTTTTTGAGCAGGATCTCATATAGCCCAAGATAGCCTCAAACTCTTTTTGTAGCTGAGGATGACCTTCAACTTCTGGTCCTCCTGCCTTCACTTCCCAAGTGCTGGAATTACAGGTGTGCACCACCACACCCAAGTTGATGAAGTGCTGAGGACCAAACCCAAGGTTCCCTGCATTGTAGGCAAGTACCCTGACAAATGAACCCTACCCAAGCCTTACCCTTTCCTCTTGAAAGGTGACTCTGAAGTTCTTCTCATCTTGATCCTTTGACTTGAGTTCAGGTAAGCAATTTGTCATGGTCAATGTGATGCTGGCTGGCTGACCTAACTCCAGAAAATTTGAAAATCCCTTGTGTGGAGATTTCTTTATCTCTCTCATTCTTCTTTTAACTTGAGAACATGTCTGCGGACTGTGTAGCAAAGCAATGCAAAGCCATCTTAGCTTCCCTGGTCAAGGGTACCTGAGGTCACCCTACTTGTAATTGACTCACAGACAAAAACAAGCCCAGCCCAGCCTAGAAGAGCAGCCCGATCGGGTGCAGCCTAAATTGCCAACTGTAAACTTGTACGCTCAATAAATACCCAATTTTAAGCTACTGAATCTGGGGGCTGTTTGTTATACATAATTGCCGTGCAAATAAGTAGTTGACAACTAGGTTAAATGATAGGATGTATCAGCCATTAAAATACACAATGCTTATCAGCATTTGCTGATGTGGAAAGATATCCACTCACATTAATTAAAAATACTGCAAAAACTGTGCCTCCGGCTGAATAGATACCTCAATCAGTAAGATACTTGTTACTCAATATGAGGACAGGAGTTTGACCCCTAGCACCACATAAGAAGCTGACACATGTAGCATACACTTGTAACCCCAGTGCATGGGGAAACATGGATAGGACAGCCTGGCCTATTTAGTGATTCCTAGTCACAGTGAGAGAGAATATGACTCAAAACACAAGATGGATGGATCCAGAAGGAAAATACCTGTGGTTGACCTCTGGTTTCTACATACACACACATGTACTTGCACACCCATGAAGATGCACACATGTGAGCATATATATGCACACACACACACACTGATGTTTAAGGTATAATCTATTTTTCACAAAATTTGAGAGAGAAAATACCGACACTGACTTTTAAAGTCATAGATTCTTTATCCTATTCTGTATTCCTTGAATTGTTAAAATGTCTACATGTTATCTTTACTGACAAAAAACTGGAAATATCACCAAGGAAATGCATCTGTCTACATTTTTCAAAATGTAGCCTTCCTATCCTAGGAAAAGTGCTCTCTCAGTGCCTCTGTCACCAACCCTAAAATGGAATGTGACCTTGAGTTCTTATTTGTGCAGGCCCAGGAGATTTGATCCCATGTCAGTGAGTAGGAGGGCGGGCACAAAACCCCAGAGAGATGTTCCATGAAAAACCTAGGGAAAAAGTTCTCCTTCCCAACTCTCTATAAACAGAGTAAGGAAATTAGCCATAGAACCAACCCCAACCATGTTTTTAGAAATCCTCCCATGTAAGTCATAATATTTTGGGAGTGAGATTTACTTTAGAATATTTTAATAACTCTAGCACTGTGACTAAAGTCCTTTGTAGCGGGTCTCAAGGGCCTTCCTGGGATGCTGTACTTAATGAGGTTTATAATTCAATATAACTACATCTGCATCTTTAATTATGCCTAACATTTAATCTTCATTGCTCCACTTGAATTGGAAGAGCTAAAATTAGGCCTGGTGTAGTTTAATCTGATAATAAACATCCATGACATTTAGAGCAAAAATGTACTCATTTCATTAGAGTAGCTGACACATTTACCATTTGCCTGAACTGAACAAACAGTCTCACAGCACTCCTGACTATACCAGAGATCACTGTTTTACAGGACTTCTTGTAGATTTCTGAAATCTGAGGTAGACAAGGTCTTGGAGGTTAAGTATCCAACACTATAATTTTACAATCAAGAATGTTGACTGAACTTTAAAGATAAATTGACTGTCCCACGGACATATAACAAGCTAACAGGTAGAGTGTGTTCTAGGAAATAAGACCCAGGATTTTTTGTTTGTTTGTTTGTTTTTTGTTTTTTGAGACAGGGTTTCTCTGTGGCTTTGGAGGCTGTCCTGGAACTAAGCTCTTGTAGACCAGGCTGGTCTCCAACTCACAGAGATCCTCCTGCCTCTGCCTCCCGAGTGCTGGGATTAAAGGCATGCGCCACCAACGCCCGGCGACCCAGGATTTTTTTTTGAGATAAAGTCATACAATGTAACTTGTGGCTGGCCTAGAACTTGGCATGTAGATCATGCTGGTTTAGTTCTCCCTTCTGCTCTCCTCCCAACAGCATGTATTCTTGAAAAGTGAAAGGTTAACTGAAGATGTGGTGTTTTGATGCAGCTTTGGTCAGCCAGTGATGAGTGTGCCTTGTCAGTGACAAAGATGTGTTTGAGTTATCAACACTCTAGTAAGTGACCCCTCCCCCATACTCCTGTAAGAAAGCCCAATCAACTCATTGGTTCATCAATTAGACTTGGGTAGAATCATTACTCTGTCACCAGTGCCCTATCTGGAATGAACATGTGAAAGTTTACATCTCCTGAGGATCAGTATCATAGCAGGCCAATTTAAAAAAAAGTCAGAAATCCTGGAATAAAATAAGTGAAGTCACTGAGGTCATTTAAGCAGGCATAATCTTCAAGGCAGGTTAGGAAAGACTTTGGGAACACGTCTAGGATGGACAAACTAATGCCTGCAGACGTCTATGAAGATTAGAGGCATCCCTGACTGGATGGGACAACTCCTGTTATTACCTGACACTGAGCTGTGTTACTCAAAAGCCATGCTCAGTTTCAACTAAACTAACAGCTCAGCAACTCTAGCCACTTCAGGTTATAAAAAGTTGAACAGAAGGCAATCCCCTAGTGTCAGGGATCAAAGGAAACAGCCACTCTGTGTCAAAGCAAAAGAAATGAGATAAGAGCAGATTTAATTTTCTTCTAAGCCTATGGGTGTTTTTCCTGCATGCATGTCTGTGCACAACGTACCTGGTACCCGCAGAGGTCAGAAGAAGACATCAGATCCTCTTGAACTGGAGTTGCAGACAGTTGTGAGCTGCCATGTGAATGCTGGGAATCAAACCTTGGTCCTCTAGAAGGAGCATCCAGTGCTCTTAAACTGCTGAGTCATCTCTCCAGGCCCAGGATCACTCTTGCTAAACATTAGCAAGATGAAAAGGGAAAAAAAGCATTGAGAAAAAGCAAAGAAAGAGAATGGAGGGAAGGAGAGAATAGAAAAAGGAAGAATCCAGGGCCCAGGGTGCAGCTCTAGAGAAATATAACTGCTGGGCAGGCACAAGACTCTATGCCCCCCCAGCATAGGAATAAGGAATAAAAAAAATAAAAGATGAGTACAGAGAGTAAGGAAATTCTACAGGTTCTTCCTCCTGGAAAGAAACCTAGTAAAAATATCCATTCAATAAGATTCAGGGTGGGAAGAAAAGATTCCAGAAACACACGAGTTCCAAAACAACACCATTGCCAACCCTCCTCCCAAAAAAAGATGAAAACAAGTAAGGAACAAAACAGACACAGCTGAAATGAAATTGCTGGCACAGTAGAAAGCCTGGAGATTATCCTACTACTTCTGAGGAAAGGCAGCCTGTCTTAAAGCCTATCCTGATGTGTTGCGGTGGCCAGAAAAGAGAACCAGGGGCTGGAAATGTGGCTTAGTCAGTAAAGTGCTGGCTGTGCAAACACAAGAACCTGAGTTATATTCTCAGCACCCATGTCAAAAGTAATAATAATAGTTCTGGCTCATGGACCAGCCTACCTGAAGCATCCGCAGGCACAGCATGGGTGTCATTGTGATGAGCAAGTATATGGTGGGGAAATGGAATAGAAAGAGAGGCAGAACAGTTCATGTGCTGTGGTAAGAGACAGTTCTGGAGAAGCAAGGGTGGTGAGGAATGGGTTGATGTTGGCAGTCTGCTTGCCACCTGGGACCAGGGTGGCGTCCAGGCCTGGGCTACAGCATAGGGCCATATCTGTGTCCTCAGCAAGGATCTGTGTTGACGTCCATGACTCATGTTGCCACCAACACCACTGGGCTGCCACATGGGACCATTTTGGTGTCAAAGGACCATGCTGTACCCACCAGGGCTTGTGCTGCCATAATAACATCTAGGCCCAGAATGCTACTAGGGGTCATGTCTGAGTCATCGGCCCTGCAGCAGCCGGGGTCTGTGTTGATGTCCATGGCTTCAGTAACCACTGAAGGCTGTGCAGATGACCCGGGGCTGGTAAGTCCATGTTGGTATCTGAGAACCATGATAATCTGAATAGCCTGTGCTGCCACCTGGGACTATGGTGATGTCTGGGCCTGAGCTGCAGATGAGGGCATGTCTGGGTCTGTGTTCCTGCTGCAGCTGGGGTCTGTGATGATGCCTATGGCCTGTGTTGCCACAGTGGGGTCATAGGAACCATTTGTGTTGAAATCTGAGGGCCTTGCTGAGCTGGACCTGCACCTCACTGGCCCTGGAATGGCTGGCTCTACCCCTCACCTGAGGGGAGTGGTCCCAGTGGCCCAGACAGACCAGCTAGGCTACCACTCTAACATCTACCCCATCTATTACCTACTGGAGTGTGTAAAGGGACTGGCCCCTCAGAACAATATTCACAGGATCCCCATGACTCAGGGCAACAGCAGAATATCGAGAGGAGTTTCAGTAAGGGTCCAGGAATCTGTGTCAGATCTGACTAATTTCTTCCATCCTTTCTGTAAAAGACAGCAATAAAGGCCTGGAGATAGTCCCTCCACTTCCAGTTCATATACTCAAAAGTAACAATTGGTAATAAAAATGTAATGTGTTATAAACAATCTGAAGTGCTGGATCTTCTTTCCATGGAGCAAGCTACTTTTCATGCTATACAACAGAAGTAGCTTTTTAACTGGTATATTCTTACTCAACAAAGTTGAAACAAATAACCCCAAAGATTGCAGTTTATTTCACAGTGAAGCCCATGTTGGCCTGGTGATCACCATGTAGCTGAGGCTGATCTTGAACTTAAAATTCTCTTGTCTCTACCTCCCAACTACTGGAATGTCAGGTATACACCATCATGCCAGGCTTGAATTGACATTTCTTTTCTAGGGTAAATATCCATATGTAATATGTTTAATTTTTCAGATGTTCCTTAAACCAGTTCTAATAGGTTCCTGTATTAATTAAGGAGTTAATTCAATAAAAATTAAATTTTGATGTGAAAAAAAATAATTCTTGGTATAGCAGTATACTGTAATCCCTGTACCAGAAAGTCAGAGACAGGTAAATCCCCGAGGTTCCTTGGCCAGTCACTATAATAATGAGAGATCCTGTCTCAAAAAAAAAAAATAGACAGCATTGAAGAAGACACCTGATATCAACAACTAACCCTAGCAAAGGTTCATGCACAAGTACCTGCACATACATGAACACAAACACATATGCACGTGCATGCCCACACACACACACACACACACACACACACACACACACACACACACACACAGAGGAAGAGGGAAAACTTCATGAAGTCGTCAAAGCCTTCATGAAGTTCAGTGTCACACAATCCTGAAGCCCATTGCCCCCATGGACATCCACTCTGACAATACCATAAAGCTCTTCAATTCAGTCGCCATGAACTTTAACATCATTGCTATTTGGGTTTGATTTTTTGGTTTTTGGTTTGTTTGGTTTTGTTTTGTTGTTGTTGTTGTTTGTTTTTGTTTTTGAGACAGGGTCTTTCTATGTAGTCCTTACTAACCTTGAACTTACTATATAGCTCAGGTTAGCCTCAGACTTTGTGATCCTCCTGCTTCAGCATCCCTAGTGCTAGGATTATAGCCATGCCTCACCTTTCCCTGTTCAAGTAGACTTATTTGTTAATTGCCGTTTTAACAAAATCCCAGTGGCTGCAGCACCCTTTCCCAGCACCTTGAGTATCCCATTGAGCTCCAAGGAAAAAAATTCCTGCCTCTCCATCCTCCCAGCCTTCCTCAAATGCTGCCGGCTGGCATTACCGAACCTTATTGAATTGAATCCCAAGAGGCCCCAGATTCACAGAAGGCTGTTCTACGGTGCCGTGAGTCAGCCTTGGGAAGCACAGGCCCAGTATGGAAGCCACTTGGAAAGGAGTCTGGTCCCCAGCCCCTCCTTCCCTTCCTCCTACACAAAGGGAAGCTTTACCCAGGAAGCTGTGCATACCCAATTGATTCCTAACTACAGCAGCAGGTTCCGGCACTGTGGCATGCCGCTTCTGGCTACTCTCTTGGAACCAGAGCAGCTGAGACATTGAAATTAGCTTCATTCTACCAGCATGAAACAGAAATACACAGCAGTCCCTGGGCTTTGGGGAGGCAGGGTCTTACACCAGTGCTCAGGGTGCCAGAAGTCTCTGTTACACCATGGAAGTTTGAGTATTGAAGACTGTGGTGTCACCAGCTTCCTGTAAACAAAGGCAGGCAAAGGGAGAAGGCTTCCAGCAGGAGGACAAAGGTGCAGTCAGCCCATTAAAAGTCATCACATTCAGTGTTAATGATCTCAAGCCATGCATGCCATCATGTTGGCCACATTTTTTTTTATCCTCTATGTTTTATTAAGTTTTGACATCCTGGGGTTTTTCTGATGCCAGAGAGCCTGTCGCTTTGGGGGAAAGATTCCTAGAGATAGTTAAGACTGGCCTACAAGCATCTTAGTTAGTGTTTCTGCTGCTGTGATAAAATGTCATGACCAAAAGCAACATGGGAGAAAAGGGTTTATTTCAGCTTATAACTTGGGAGTCCATTATCTAGGGATATCAGATCTTGAGGTTCTAATGAAGGGGAACCAATGAAGAGGCCATGGAGGAGCCCTGCTGACAGGCTTACTCAGACTGCTGTCCTTCTGTTGTTGGTGGTGCTGGTGGTGGTGTTAGTGGTGGTGGTGGTTTTTTGTTGTTGTTGTTGCTGTGTTTCTTGTTTTTGCAAGATGGGCTTTCTCTGTGTAGCTATGTCTATTCTAGAACCCACTCCATAGACCAGACTGGCCTCAAACTCATAGAGAACTTCCTGCCTCTGCCTCCTGAATGCTGGGATTAAAGGTGTGCCCCACCACCCAACTAAGACCACTTTCTTATACCATGCAGGACCACACCCCTAGGAGTGACACCACCCACAGTAAGTTGAGCTCTCCAACATTAATCATCAAACAAGAAAATGCACCACAGGCCAATCTTATGAAGTCATTGTCTCATTAATATTCCTTCTTCCCAGATGCCCTAGTTAGGGTTTTGTTGCTGTGAAGAGACAACGTGACTATGGCAACTTTTATAAAGGAAAACATTTCATTGGGGCTGGCTGACAGTTCAGAGGTTTAGTCCATTATCAGGTGGGAACATGGAGGCTTGTGGGCAGACACAGTGCTGGAGACGGAGCTGAGAGTTCTACATCTGGATCCACAGGCAGCAGAAGAGATTGGGCCACTGACCTGTCTTGAGCATCTGAGACCTCAAAGCCTGCCCCTAGTGATACACTTCCTACAATAAGGTCATACACCCCAATAATGCTAGTCCCTATGAGCCTATGGAGCCATTTTCATTCGAATTACCACACAAGTTATGTCTAAGCTTGTGTCAAGTTGACAGAAACCAAGCAGCACAACACCCTTCATATACAAACCAACCAACCCAAAGCACATATAACTAGTCGCCTCCTTAAGAGCACTCATGCGCCGGGCATTGGTGGCGCACGCCTTTAATCCCAGCACTCGGGAGGCAGAGGCAGGCGGATCGCTGTGAGTTCGAGGCCAGCCTGGTCTACAGAGTGAGTTCCAGGACAGCCTCCAAAACAATACAGAGAAACCCTGTCTCAAAAAACCAAAAAAAAAAAAAAGAGCACTCATGCACCAAGACAGAACTCCCTATGTCCCATGCCTGAGGTCAGTCCAGCAACTAGATACCACCTTTTTAGCCTGGAGCCCCCAGTGTTATGTAAATTTACTCAAACTTGGCTCTCTCCCCACTCCCTCTTCATAAATGCCTCAGTGACGATTCGCTCTGGCCTTGTACCCTTTGCTTTCTTACTAACCTAGGTGTTTCCTCCTGGAGCCCTGGGTGGTTTAACGTGTCTGTCCTCTTGGGAACTGTAGGATGTTCTTCTTCCAAATTCCTTTTATATTTGTCATCTTACCCCATCTAATTGAAACAAAATCCTAGATATGTTTGAAGGAAAACTCAGCCGACCGTAAGGGCATCTACCCTAAGTACACTTGCACTTCTTGTCTTAAGTAATGCCTACCATGTTACAACACAGGAGTCATTCTGTATGTGAGGAGGGCAGAGCTCAGAGGTTGATTAACTCGCCAGTGCTGCCTGGCAGGGAGACTGATCATGAGCTGAGAATGTTACCATAGTCTTTAAGACATGTAAGAAATTTTGAAGATGATGTATGGTGGGAGAATTGAGTATTGTTTATCAAACATTAAACATATTTTCTTTTATTTATTTATTTATTATTTTGTTTTTTGTTTTTCGAGACAGGGTTTCTCTGTATTGTTTGGAGGCTATCCTGGAACTCGCTCTGTAGACCAGGCTGGCCTCGAACTCACAGAGATCTGCCTGCCTCTGCCTCTCCAGTGCTGGAATTAAAGGCATGTGCCACCAGTGCCCGGCTAAACATGTTTTATTATTATTATTATTTTAGTTTTTCGAGACAGGGTTTCTCTGTATTGTCTTGGAGGCTGTCCTGGAACTCACTTTGTAGACCAGGCTGGCCTCGAACTCACAGAGATCCACCTGCCTCTGCCTCCTGAGTGCTGGGATTAAAGGCGTGCGCCACCACCGCCCAGCAAACATGTTTTATTTTAGAAGGGAATAAAACATGTTAAGTAGACACATTCAAAATAGATATTGGCAAAAATGGACAAAATAATTAGAAGAAGCTTGCCAATGTTAGGATCAAAACCTTTGAGTTGACTTTCTCACACTCTTAGGCAGAGGTGAGCCCAGCTAGAATGCAGCCAACTGGGACACAGTCCAGCAGAGGGCATCTCTCCATGGTTTCGGATATGAGCTCTTCATTTAATGGCTGGTACTGGGACTGTGGGCTTGGTATGTGTCAGGTACAGCAGGCTGAAAGAAGATCATAATTAGCTTATAGGCACATTACCAATTGGGGCTGGGTAATTCTTAGTCATGGAGAAATGCCCTGTGCACTGTGGGTTATTTAATACCATCCCTGGCCTCTTTACACTGGATGCCAGAAACATCTCCCCACACTATTTAGTCATTAAAACTACTAACAGCTCCAGACATTGCTAAATGTGTATAAAATCATCCCCACCCTCCACTGAGAACCAATGGATTAGACAAAGCTATCCATGACTTAATCCTACATCATCTGTTCTACCTGTGGCCATCAATATGTGGGAGAAAACCTCAGGACTTGGGCTGTGGAATTTGACTTTGTGGTCAAGGATGAATTTACTGCTGAAACAGTATTCTAGTTCTCTTCTGCTATCACAGAGGGAAAATGCCCCCAGAGGGATAGAAGACAGGACTCCAGCGCGTTAGAAAGAAGTCAGGTAAAAGCCATCTATCTGTCTGGCTTCTTTTCATTTCCCTGTGTACCTGAAAGTTGGGAAATGAGAAGGACCATGGACCACAAGTTCTGAAACACAGAGCTCAAGGCCAGTATGGCACTTAAGGCTACCTGCTTTTGAGTGAGTCCCATTTTTCTCTTCTAGGTTGGACATTGTGTTTCCCTTCCAAGTTTTGCCCGTTCAGTGAAAATCCTAGAAATGATCAAAGAATAAATTAGGATTCACCAACTTCACAGGGCTGAATTCCCGATTGGGAAACAGATTTAGATAAGAGAGTCAGTTGACTGTCAGCTCCCAGCCAGGCTGAGAAGAGGCAACCAGTAAATCTCACCGTAGTACAGGAAGTGGGCAGTTACTGCCCTCATCTGACACAGGGAAATATTGACCAGCACTATCACCAGACCCTTCTAGACTAGGTAATTTGTGAGCATAAGACTGTGGCTACTGCTTCCTTGGGGGCACACTAAGACAAGAAGTATTGAGTCTTACTAACCGAGCTATCCCCTAGCCTCAGGTTCATTCTAATATTGGCTAGAATATAAATAAAAGAGGACCTATTTCAAGGCCTGTGTCTGCACAGGGCTGCATCTAAAGAAACCCGAGTACAAATTCCTTAAAATGTCCTTGGAAAGAAACTGCTACACACCTCAAGAGGAAGCCACAATAGAGCCGTACCCCTTGTTTGCTGTGACGCTGTGACAGAATGTCTTACAGAAACAAGGGAGGAAGGATTTTATTTTGGCTCACAGCTTGAGTGGGAATAGCCGATCCTGGTGAGAAAGGTGTGCAGAATAACCAGCTCCTGGGATGAGGGTGGGCACCTGCGGGCAGAAAGCCTTGGGCTGGAGGCAGAGTGGGTCTAGAAGCCTCAAGCCCCACTGATACATCCTTATGTCTGCCAGCTAGGCCCCATGTCATAAAGGTTCCACCACCTCTCAAAACAACATCATTATCCTCCCCCTCTCCCATCTCACCCCCAGAGCCTCTGTCTCCTGTGCTCTTTGGTTGTGCGGGAGCCAACAGTGTAGCCAAATCCCAGCCAACTGCTGTGGCTGCTAAAAACAGATGTGGCGGCTTGAATAAAAAAAAAAAAAAAAAAAGACTACTGTCAGAGGCTTAAACATCAAAGTTCTTGGGATTTGCTTTCTAGGGCTCCCCTAGCCTTGCCCCTGTGCCTTCCAGTCTCCCCTCTGCTGTGTAAAGCGTGGTCACAAGCAGGTCTCCGAGTGGCCAGTAATCTTCCAGCCTGAGAAAGGAAGCAAGACAAGAAAGTCTCACTCATGTCCATTTAGGCTATTTCTCCCAGTTTTTGCTAGGGCTTGGGAGGCAAGTGGATGAAGAGGCATTTTTTATTACATTTATTTGTTTGTGTAAATGTATGCACCCGCATATGACACGGTACTCATGTGGAGGTCAGAGGATAACCTAGGAGAATCAGTTCTCTCCTTCCATCATGTAAGTTCTGGGGATCAAACTCAGATGGTTCCTTTACCACCTGAGCCACTTTGCCAATCCCTGAAAAGACTGTTGATCCTGTGGTAATAGCAACAAAACCTGGACAAAATAAAAACCAAACACTTTTTTCTTTTCTGGTTTTTCAAGACAGGATTTCTCTGCGACTTTGGAGGCTCTCCTGGAACTAGCTCTTGTAGACCAGGCTGGTCTCTAACTCAAAGAGATCCGCCTGCCTTTACCACCTGAGTGCTGGGATTAAAGGGGTGCACCACCACCACCACCGCCCGACTAAAACCAGACACTTCTATGGGTCATGAAAACCGTAAAGGGTGTAAGGAAGCCCTGATTAAATGAATTCTGGAAGGAAACAAGCCCTCTACAGGAGAGCAGAGGACCAGGGTCAGCTTCTGTATCTGAAAAAAAAATTATAGGGAACTGGTCTAGGAATGAGGGATGTGGTTCAGGGAGAGAGCCTCCAGGGATGAGGCGGAATAAACGTAGACGTAGACTGTGTATCCATCAGCATCCATCAGAGATACACAGTTAATTCCCAGGGTTCAGGACCCAGGGATATTTCTCATGACTTTGGCGTAACATAGTCTGGCGATCCAGTTGAATTGTCAACTCTGATCATTGCCTGTGTGACTGGTGAGGCTGGGAGTCACTAGAGAGCAGTTGGGGACGAAAACAAACAAGAACAAGGGTGAACTGAGAGACACAGGGACAACGGGAAAGCACAGTGAAGGATTATAAGTATGGCTCAGTTGACAGAGTGCCTGGCTGGCATGCAGGAAGCCCTGAGTTCAACCCTCAAAACTACATAAACCTGTCATGATGACACAATCCTATAATCCCAGTATGCCACGTCCGCTAAGCAGCCTGTGTCCGAGAATGTGCGGAGGGTGTCGGGGATTGACGACACAGAGACTCGTTCAACGGTGTAAAGAAAACTTTAAGCAGGCCCCAAAAAGGCTCAAGAAATCTTCCCAAGAAAGGCCTCCCTCCAGAAAGGCTTCTGCTCTCTCTCTACCCCTAGCTGGTTCTGCTCTGACACCTGAAACTGGTCTGGGCGTGTCAGAAGAGGCGGTTAGTCTTTGGACTAGGTCGAGGTCAGGGCAGTTCCCGTGGGCCAGCCCTTTTCAGGAACTTGTTGCCCCAGGCATTGTATTATTTTTAGTAAACATGTTTTTAGTAAACATTGTCTTACAGCTGCCTACTCCCAGGCTGATGGGGAAGTGGGTCTCTGCTCAAGGTCTGGTGTCCCCACACCAGTAGGCAAGAGGAGGAAGAGGCAAGGAGATCAGAGATTCAAGATCACCTTCAGGTACCTAGTGAGTTAGGGGCCAATCGGAACCCTATGAGACCCTGTCTGAAAATGATAGGAGGAGGAGGAAAAGGAGGGAGAAGATGAGAAGCCCCACACTCATTACAAAGTGTTGGGGGGGGTGACACACCAGAACTCACATATGCCAGTCTTTCTAAACTTGTTGGTGATCTACAGAAAAAGCTGTCACCCTGGGCCCACGTAGGACAAGAAGGAGGGAAACAGAACATGATGTTGGCCTGTAGCTTGGAAAAGATAAAAGGAACGGCAGAGGAGCCAGGGGAACTCTGGAGGCAGGATCAGTGGCTGCCCACACCGGTTAGTATTTCTGGCACATCGCTGACCTTCAGAATGTAAAACAAGCTACCTGCAACTCTGCTTCTATTGTTTTCAAGGTTTATGAACAATGTCTCATGTGGCCTAAACTGGCCCAGAAGCGTGAGAAAGAGAATTCTGGGAAACGGAGCTCCAGTTCAGCCAGACAATAGAAATACGGAGCTACCAGCGATGGTGTGGGCTGGAAGGATGCACGAGATCTGGAAGAACCCAAAAGGGTAAAAAAGAAACTACTCGGACCAACTATTCTCATGATGCCAAGTTAGGAAGTGAGAACGTAAGGGCAAGTGTGCATACTAATTACCCACCTCTACTCAACTTCAAGGAGGATGGACTGGGAAATGCAAAGTAAACTTCAGTCCAATCTCTCCAACTCTAACGCTGACGACAAGATGGAGGAGGCACACGCTTGGGATGTGATTATCACTGACAAATTGCATCCAAGGGAGACTGCAGCGCAGCCACACTATAGGGAGGATCTCAGTGATCAGCTGCAGGACGGAGGAGTGTGTGCTCTGAAAAGTGAACAAAACAAACATCACGCATCAGTTTCCATAATTAAATGCAGTGGAGCAGGCAAAGACATTAACAAAAAGTGAAGAAAGTCAGCAGCAATCAAAAGAAGCACATCTCAGGTAACCTAACCATTAGACATTAATGGGTAAGAAATTTAAATCAGCATTAAATATATGCTAAGTATTGCTATAGGTCAAGACTGATAATGATGGCTGGACACCTAAATATAGACTTGAAGAATTAAATAGAAATTCTAGAACTGAAAGTAGTAACAATATGAATCATCCCCATCCATCTAACAGGTTTTCAATTTTGTAATGGTAGAAAATCATATCCATATGGTACTCCTGTACTCATTAAATTACATAAACTAATCAATACTATATTATAAGATAAGCCTCATGTTGGATGGGGTTTTTGTTTGGTTTTTTTTTTTGGTGTTTGGTTTTTTTAAATGTATTTTTAAGGGATGAGTGCTCTGTCTGCATGTATGCCTGCACACCAGAAGATGGCACTAGATCCCATTATAGATGGTTATGAGCTGCCACGTGGTTGCTGGGAATTGAACTTGGGACCTCTAAAAGAGCAGTGCTCTTAACTGCTGAGCCATCTCTCCAGTCCCATATTGGATGGTTTTACCCAACCATAGGAAAATGGAAGTATTCTGAACACATTTAAAGTAGGTGAGGTAAAGCTGTGATATTCAGTAAGGTGATTAAAGGCATTTTTTCCTTATGACCTTAACTTATGATAGTTGATCAGGATATAACCCCATCCTAAGCAGAGGAACATCTGGATATGGTTGGGTGCATAATAGTAACTATAGCAGTAGCACAAAAGGTAGGAGAAAAAGCTTTTGTTCATGAATTTAATACTATGACAAAGTATAGATACATAGTTGATCCTTGGAGAATACAAAACAAAAGTATTAAGAGATGTAACTGAAAGCCACATAAAACATATTATCCAAAAGAAGACACAAAAGCATAAACCACAGAAAACCGACTCGATGGGGCTAGGGAAATAGCTCAGTTGGTACAGTGCTTGCCCAGCACATGTAAAGTCATGGGTTCAATCCCCAGACATAAACCAGATGCGATGGTGCACACCTCTACTCTCAGTATGTGGAAGGTGGAGGCAGGAGGACGGTTAAGTTCAAGTTCATGCTCAGTTACATAGTGAGTTCAAGGCTATCCTGGGCTACATAAGACTCTGACCCAAAAGAAAAAAAAGTTAGCTAGTTAATAACTTGCATTCATCAAAATTAAAACTTTCCATCCCCTTGGGAAACATTCCTAGGCAAGTCACGGACTAGAAGAAAATATATAGAGAATACACAGCTAATAAAAGATTTGTACCTAGGCTAGGTATAGTACTGCACACCTTTAATACCCTAGGACTTGGAAGGCAGAAGCAGGCAGAACTCTGTAAGTTCAAGACCAGCTTGATCTACAATGAGCTACAGTTCAGCCAAGGCAAAACAACAACAAAAATGTTTTGTTTTAAAGACTTGTATCTAGAATATAAAAAGAATTTGTAACTCAAGCACAAGATAACAAATTTTAAAGGAAAAATAAAAGATTTGAACAGATATTTTGTGTTGGGAGAAATATGTTCAACATTGTTATCATGGGAAAAGCCATGCTCTGGATCCACAGAATCTACATTGAAATAGGTAAAATTAAAAATTATTGGGTCTGGAGAGATAGCATAGTAATAAAGATCATCCGTTGCTCTTACAGAGGACCCAGGTTCAGTTCCCAGGATCCATATGATGACTCACAACCAACCATAGCTCCAGTTTCAGGGGACCCAATGCCCTCTTCAGAGCTCCTCAGACACCAAGTACGTATGTGATGCACAAAGCATACATGCAGACAAAATACTCATACACACAAATACAATTTAATTAAAAAAATAAGTTAAAATGATTGATAAGCCGGGTGGTGGTGGCGCACGCCTTTAATCCCAGCACTCGGGAGGCAGAGGCAGGCAGATCTCTGTGAGTTCGAGGCCAGCCTGGTCTCTACAGAGTGAGTTCCAGGACAGCCTCCAAAACAATACAGAGAAACCCTGTCTCAAAAAACAAACAAACAAAAAAAAACAAACAAAAATGATTGATAACACTGTTTTGGTGATAAAGTGGAATAATTAGGACTCTCATTCATTAATGGAAGGGACATAAAATGGTATAATCATTTTTGGAAATATGAAAGTTTCTTGTAAAGTTAAGCATGCAACCTAGTAATATAGGTTCTATACTTTTTATACAAATGAAGTTTTTATATAAATAAAGTGAAAGTACATAGATGTTCCCAGACACTTTATTCATAATAACCCCAAACTGAAACACTTGGTGTTGATGTACTATTAACCATCTCACAAACAGATACACAAATTGTGGGTGTGAGCCGGGCGTTGGTGGCGCACGCCTTTAATCCCAGCACTTGGGAGGCAGAGGCAGGCGGATCTCTGTGAGTTCAAGACCAGCCTGGACTACCAAGCGAGTTCCAGGACAGCCTCCAAAGCCACAGAGAAACCCTGTCTCGAAAAACCAAAAACAAACAAACAAACAAACAAAAAAAACCAAATTGTGGGTGTGTTCCTACAAAGAAATTTTATTCAGTTTTTTAAAAAAGCAAAAGACGGGGCCAGTGAGGTGGCTATCACATAAACCTGACCACCTCAGTTTGATTCCACGCAGAGGTGGACAAAGAGAATCGACTCCACAAAATTGACCACTAGCCTCTGTAAGTACACCATGGCATGTGCACACGCACCCAGGTGTCTACATACTCATACACACTATAAATTATTGATAACGTGTGTGTGTGTGCGTGTGTGTGCGTGTGTGCGCGCGCGTGTGTGTGTGTGTGTCTATGTGTAAGCATGGAGGGACTAGAGGTTGACATCAGGCATTTTTCCTCTATTGCTTTCTACCTTACTTTTTTGAGACAGAGTCTCAGGTCACTGATTTGGCTAGACTGCCCCAGGGATCAGCTTGTCTCCAGAGCCCTCAGCACTGAGGTTGCAGATGAATACCACCGTGCCCAGTTTTTATGAGGATGCTGCAGACCCAACTCAAATCCGAATGTTTGCACAATAAGAACTTTACTAAATGAGCCATCTCTCCAGCCCCCTGATACAACCCTTCTGTGGATAAAACCCAAAATCACAATGCTGAATGAAAACTAATTATACAGGCAGTATAACTCTATTCTTTTGAAACCATACAAGACTAATTGTAAAGGCAGATTTGTGGCAGGATAGGCACAGAAATAGAGAGGAAGGACGAGGATTGCCTGCAAAGGACATATGAAGGAATTCTTGAGAAAATGGATGTGCTTGTGTCTTGCTTGTGGTAGAGTTCATACACATGCATGTGAAAATTCTTTGTACTCTACCTAAGAAGTGGATAGAGTTTTTTTTAAATATCAGCAATCCACTTTTACAGTGTGCAAATCAGACACGTAAGAATATGAATAGGCAATAAGCATACAAAAGGGTTTCATGTGATTAGTCAACAGGCAACTGGGAAATGCAAATGAAAACTGTAATATATACCAGCAAAATGCCCACTAGAAAGGCTAAAATTAAAAATATGTATAATAGTAAACATTACTGAGGATATGGAGCAACTTCACCCTCCTATGCTGCTGGAAGGAACTGTAAAGTAAAATGACTTTGAGAGACTCTTTGGCAATTTCTTATCAAGTATACCCTTACCCACCAACCCAACAATTCCATTCCTTAGAGAAATAAAAAACACTCTACAAGAAGATTTATTCAACAATCACCACAGCAGCCTTATTCCTAGTATTCCTAAACCAGAAACACCAATTGCCTGTCAACAGGAGAATAGATAAAATATGATATATCACTGCAAGGAGCCATCACTTGGCAATAAAAAGGAATAAACAATAGTTTCAAGCAACAACATGAACGAATCTCACAGTGTGTTGAATGAAAGATACTAAAGGCATATATAGATGTGCTATAAAATTCCATTTCTATCTATTTTAAGAACAGGCTCTAGAAGCTAAGGCACATGGTTTATAAGTTTGAGATCAGCCTGGGCTGCACAGATGATCCTATCTCAAAAGCAGGGTCAGCAAAACTAACAGGTGCTAATGGTTGGTTCAGGCTTAGGAAGATTTAGAGGGTAACCTGGCATAGGGCAAGGGAAAGGATGCATCAGAAAGGAAGATGTAAGGAATGTTCCTGGATGCTAAAAAAATCCCTTGTCTCAAGTAGAGTGTGTACATTTGTCAAATTCCCTTGGATCATACAACTAAACTCTGTATGTAAATTATGTGCTTGACCCTACATCTATAGCATTCAACCAATTTGGATCAAAAATACTATATGAGAAAACTGGAGGTAGAGATCTATGGTAGGGCACCTGCCTAGTGTGCATAAATCCCTTGATTTAACCCCCGGAACCACATCAAACAAAAGTACAAAATATTTTTCATCTCTTGAACATGCACAGACATTTTTCTTGTTATTATTCCATAAATAATACAGCACAAAAACGATTTCTCTAACATCTTCATTGCACAAGGTAGGATGAGTAATTGGGAAATGAGTTCAAGTCTGCAGGGAGTATTTGTATTGTTTATATGTGATTGTGACAATATGTATCCTTTATACGTGATTGTGACACCAGTAGATTTCAGACTCTTGAATTTCTATGAATTTTTCCATCTGTGGGGAGGGGGAGCCTTAAAACCATGTCATACATAGTTGTTTTTAATAATAAAAGAAAAGAAAACAAAGGAGGTTAGATCGGACACTTGAGCTTGGATCTCAAGCCAGAATTCAGTCATGTGACCACAGTGGGTACAAGAGAGACCAAAAAAACACTTCATTCTAAACAACGTTGTACCTTTTTAAAATTTGGAAGTATTTTTACTGTAGAAACAGTAGAGACTTGATGCAGAAGGACAATTAAAACTGTCTGCCATGCAGGATGTTGGTGGCACACACCTTTAATCCC